GAAAAATGCTCTAATGTTCACCGATATGCGTAATTCCTCATAGAATTCCGGCCGGCAAGTGAAAGCCGTCAGAATCCTCGTCAATAACCCGTCCAACTACGTTCATCTGTAGTATTCTGTCAAGACGATTTCTAAGCCAGACAGTCAACAAAGACAAACAGCTTGCTTTTGACACCACTCTTTGTGATGGTGAACACGTATGCAAATAGTGAGATAATAACATTTCGAATCAGGCTCGTTACATTCATACTCCTCGCAAACTCTTAGTACGCGTCATGTTTGCAGACAAGGCGTTCTTTAATTCTAAATTAATCTAATGTCTGAAGAGAAGCTATATAACATGTCTGTAAATAATGTAGAAGGAGTGGTAGTAAAAAAACGGTCAGCAACCAATCTTTCTCGTTTCGTCTTAGCTAATGCAACTCATTCGCAAACATCGATAAGATACTTTCAAGAATGAAGTGAAGAAGGACACGCACGAGCATCAAGACCTACAGATGATGGCATAAGTCAAGCTATAGACATTTATTGAGAAAGGGCATAGGGATTAATAATATTGAAACAGCTTTCGGTTATTTACCTGAAAACGCATTCCTTTATAGGTTCGACTATCTACTCAGTAATCGGTATCACAAAACAATGAACAATCCACACGCGTGCCTTCAAATTAAGACAATAATGTCATAAATAATGTGCATTTATTTGAATTCTATCATGATGCTCATCATTCACAATGCTATCTACACGTGTAGGGAAAAAGTCTATTTCTGCTCCATAACGTCTACAAATTAAGGAGAGGGTTGTGGAGATGATTTAAGCGTTGTTGTTACAAATGGGTGATCCTGCAGTACACTAGCAGGTGGTCTCTTGACATGATCAGCTTCAAAAGTCAACCGCAAAAAGTCCGTTGCATCATGTGATATATTATCCGGTATTTCTGGGGCACACGATAATCCGATCTTTAGATACAAAAATAACGTAAAAAACATAGTTAGTTGTAGCAACGCGACCAATGTGCATATGCCTATACTTGGTTCCAAGTCACTGAGATTGCCTTCAAAATACCTTGAACATTGCCTGCATCTGATGTAATGTAGGGAATGGATGATCGCCAGTGAACATTTCGACAATCAGGCACCCAAGTGACCATATGTCTGCTTTGGTCGTATAATGTGTCTGCTTTACGACTTCTGGTGCCATCCAAAACACCGAACCCTGAAGCGATGGACGATGTGCAGATGTAGCCGCCATGAATTCTAACGAAATGAAATATAAGATGTCAGTGAAACGAATATTCATAAGCAACGATTCTTGCTGTAATCAGTCTTCTCACCATCTTCAACTTTCTTGGATATTCCAAAGTCCGAAATCTTAATTCCTCCCTTATTGTCAACAAGTATATTGGCCCCTTTTATATCTCTATGTATTATATCTCGTTCATGCAGATAATTCAATCCTGTCAATATCTGTCGGACAAAGGACCGTACGAGTGTTTCCTCCTGTGGACCATAGTTTCTCAGCATAGAGGATACTGAACCGCCTGGAACGTATTCTAAGAAAATGTTGAGACTCTTTTCATCGTGTTGCGAGCCTAATTACAGAATGATTTGTTAGCTTTCGTATTTCGAACAAAAAGGACGTTCAATATAATATTATACAGACAATCGTCTTACCAAGGTATCGGACAATATTCTCATGATCCAGCTCTTTCAGCAGTGTAATTTCTCTCTGTAACGCATCCAACTGTCGTATAAGGAAAGTAAAAAAGTTTAGACATGAAAATGAAACAGATGATTAGCTGAACTATTGACACATATATACCATCGATTTCTTTCTGTCTTCATTCGAAGACTGTCCAGTTGGTAATTCGACTTGCTTTACAGCCATCAGTTCTCCAGTTGCAGAATTCAAGCCAAGATACACGTTGCCAAAAGAACCTGATCCAATAAGTGCTCCTTTGATCCACTTGAAAGGAGATAGATCCGACGTATCTGCAAAACAACAATGTAATACAAGTGAATCAGCTAAAACATCTATGAATATCATAGGATAGTCAACACTGCATTTTGTCCACGTTTATTGGGCTGTTCTGTACTCTTGACATTTTCGTCTCTCAACTCACCAGTACTATCGGTATCGGCATCTGGGTTCCAATTCTCCTCAACTTCCTCATCCTCCATAACCTGAAACTCGTTGTTACGCTCTTCCTCAAGTATAGGCAGTTCATGACACGAACAGTCATCACCTTGCACAGACGGTACTAGAGTAAATGACGATGATGACGAGGATAGTGACTCATTATCATATAATTTAGAAATGGTTCTCGATTTCGGTCTCGACGGTCCCGACGGCCTCGAAGCCCTCCTCATCGACATTCTATGACTTCTTTCCAGCTCTTCACTATTATGGCCAGGAAAATATTCTGTGAGATTCAAAGAAATCAATTCTGATGGTGGTCGTTGTCCGAAAAAGTTTCTGAGTTTCTTCTGAGAGAACCCTTGTGGCGTTGTCGGAACCTTTTCTCCAAAGAAACGTTGTAGTTTGCGATTTTGTCGGATACGCATGTAATCTTCATGACTCAGATGTTGATGAATTTTACGCAGGACTAGGCGGTTACGCTCGGGTCTGTCCGGATCACGGCAGATTTCTACTAGCTCTTCATCTTTTAATTTGTGGGCTTAAAAAGATCAAGTTAGAAAATCTATATTTAATGAGTTTTGAAAGAAGGCTAAAAGAATCTGCCTTACCAGCTTCGGAATGCGTATCTGAAACAAATAGAGAATATTTCT